TGGAAGCTGGGGATTCCCTTATCTTGTGAATCACGACTCTAACACCCCCCCCCCCTCCTCGTCTCCTCCGCTTAACATCACCCACGGTAATAATTAATCACAGTGTGTGTGTGTGTGTGTGTGTGTGTGTGTGTGTGTGTGTGTGTGTGTGTGTGTGTGTGTGTGTGTGTGTGTGTGTGCGTGTGTATGTGTACGGATAAGTGTGTGTGAGTCTGCATACATATAGAAAGTACCAGTGACGATACCTGTCACGTTAATGATGCAACAGTTAGACTATAATGATGCAACACTCTAGACTCGCATGGTAACAAAGTCCATAACGATGGTAACTTTCGTAGCTTCGTGCATGAAATCACGTGCAACGTTCGAGGCAATGCCGCAAACTTACACACACACACGCACGCACGCACACCCGCGTACAAAATAATATCCGGTTCACTTCTTGCAACTCACCAGGGAAAGTCCCAGCCTTCTTCCTTGTGGCTGTGATTGCAGGTGGCCTCTGCCCTCGAACGTTCCGAATCAGAGGCATTCTTATTCTTCCCTCGCTTAATTATCGTTCCCAAGTTCCTTCCGACGATTCCAGAAGCCTGCGCCGAGTCCTTCCTCCCTTCCTAGCCCTCCGCCCCCGACGGCGCCCCACGCAACGAAATTCTTCCGAAGGACCCCAGGATGAGGAGGCGGGGCCGCGTGGAGGTCCGCTGCCCCGTGCTATTTAAGCCTCGACGCGAGCAACCGCAACCAGAGTTCACCCAGCCTCGGAAGGGATAGCACGCGGGCTCTCCTGTCGTCCCTCACTAAACCTGCCTCCCAATTCATTGCTTGAAACTACATTTGTGGATTCCGGAGAGTGAGGCAGTGAAATCCATAGTGGACGAAAAGAAGAAAAAAAAGTAATCAAAAAAGTTCTCAAAGAGTGAAATACCTCGACATTCAGTGATTTTAACATTCCTTTGATGTCAACGTCTGTGTTGAAAACCATGGCAACGACAGGTCAACGCGGCGACAAAGGTGAGTTCAGATTTTAATATTTTGTTCGGGTGTAATTGGTTCTCATTTTCTTTTTTACAGAGGGAAATCGGGGATATCAAAAGTCATTTTATACCGTTTAATGGAAGCCACACACAAAAAAACAACGCTCTTGCTTATGATATAACGACCATCATCACCCAACACAATCTCCCAGGGTATCCGATTCAAATGCCACAAAAATTAAGACAGGTAATTGTGAAAGTCCACGACGCGCTCTCACATACCCCAAGCGGCGTCTCTTTCAGCCGGTTCATCTGTCTGCTCCCTCGCTCAAAGAGCTGTAGACATCTATAGAATGTTTCAATGTTGGTGCATGTCAGTCGGATATTTCATATGATAGTCACAGAATATTCAGTTTTCAGTTTTAGAAACACACACACACACACACACACACACACACACACACACACACACACACACACACACACACACACACACACACACACACACACACACACACACACACTGTACAAACTTATTATCGCCCCTGGTACATACCTGTGGCCAGGTGTTATGACCTAGAGCAAGGCATCCACGAGAGACCAGTCCCCATATCCTCAGCCTGAGGGCGAACCGGGGCATACCAGTAAGGTAGCTTCGGCCCAAAATTACCCTCCCTCGTTTTATCCGACAATCATTTTAATGCGGGCCATATTTTTCTATGAATTGTTTCTATAAATGAATGTCCAAGCAGATCGAAAGGAATTAAAGCGTTGCATTAACAGTTCGATAACTCGACGGACTTTATAACTTACTGCGTACTATCCCAAGGCCATTCCAGCGGAGGTGCCCCTGACTTCCCCCCACCCCCCATTTCTCTCGCCAGAATATGCTCCAGATAACCGCTTTTGAGAGAGAGACAGAGAGAGAGAGAGAGAGAGAGAGAGAGAGAGAGAGAGAGAGAGAGAGAGAGAGAGAGCGAGAGAGAGAGAGAGAGAGAGAGAGAGAGAGAGAGAGAGAGAGAGAGAGAGAGAGAGAGAGAGAGAGAGAGAGAATGTTGTACAAGTTCGGTGAGTCGTATACAAGGTCTAGTCTGTTTAGTAAAATATCTAAACATTTATAAACATAGCTTCTTATGATGATAAAGAAGAGACAGATGGGCTATGAGAGAGAGAGAGAGAGAGAGAGAGAGAGAGAGAGAGAGAGAGAGAGAGAGAGAGAGAGAGAGAGAGAGAGAGAGAGAGAGAGAGAGGAAGAACGTATTACATCATAGAATCCAAACAGCGACTGAAATCCTTCTTTGCATAATAAACAGCTCATATGTATCCAACAGAGGCTTGGGAGGGATGAGGAGAATCTGAAACAAACGAAGAAAAATAAATGTTATATACACGAGGAAGATGATTGTCATGATACGAATGATAAACTGCAACAACAATAGTGATAGTAACATTGAAAATTATAATGTTAATTGCTATTATAGCAACAGTAATTATATCGCGAATATAAAAATTCGTAATAATAATAATTATAATAAAGGGGCTTACTAGAAGCAAGAATCAGGAAGGGACTCAGAATAAGAAAAAAAAAAGAAGAAAAAAACGAAAACAATAATAATGATTGAGATTTTATAACGCCTCAGATTTCGCTTCCCATTGCCTTCTCTCTCCTTGACCTTTCAAGAATAACAAACTGTCAAAGGGCGTGCGAAATGCGGCCCAGATGCCCTCCTTTCTCAGCCATTTCCCACGCTTATTCTCAGAGTCCATAGACATGTATATGTTACGTTTAATCGACTTTCAGGAAGGTTTTATGGTTTAATTTCCTGTTTATATTTGCTACTACGTCTTTTCCTACATCCTGACTAGTATACTTGATAAAAATCACTTTACAAAGAGTCATTTTAAGTAGACAAACAATGAATGTAATATATATGTAAAAACAATTGTTGGGATAAAACAAGTTACCCAACAACAAAGCCCGATGTCCTTGTATTATGTCTGCTGATAAAAGACGTACAACAAAACAGCGTGTGACCTCTCTTGACCTCCTTGCCTCGCAGGTGGTGGCCGGGTGATGTTCGGTGTGGCCGGTGTGATCCTGGCGGCGTCGTTCCTGTTCATGAGAACGCCCGTGCATGAGACCCCAGCACCTACGCCGACCGCTGCTGTTATCGGTACGTTTTGAGTATTTTTATGCTTTAAATGGTGATATTTTTTTCCCATTTTTTAAAAGTCAGTGGTTTATTATTGTTGAGTTTTGTTATATTTCATGAAGGGCGATTTAGATATTTTGTGATTTTTTGGCGTGACGACAAAGCTGTCATTTTGAAATGGAATATTCACTTTCATGATTTGCGGTATTTTGACGTTGCTTAAAAGCGGAATATATTAAACATTTTATGTTTATTTTCCTTAGACTATGACCCATGCTGCGCCTACCCTTGTGAGAACCAGGGTATCTGCATGTCCAAGCCCGACCGAAACTACACATGCGACTGTACTGGCACTGGACACTACGGAACCAACTGCGAAATACGTAAGTAAAATTCGACGTCATGGAATAAGATGAACATTAGATGAATAATTATTTTTCTTGCAAAATGTATATTATAACCCTTAAAAGTATATATAAATGATTATCATTCTCTCTTGCAGCTACTTGGTCGACAGCGATTAAAAACAAACTGAAACCAGACCCTGAATGGCTGCACACATTCATAACTTCCAATGGCTGGGTGTGGGCGATTATCAACCGTCTTCCCTTCATCCACAAGCGACTGATGACATACGTCTATCTTTGTAAGTACAGGTCAGATAAAAGTAACCATGATTAGTAGTAATCAGATTACCTCTTCTGTGCCATTGATATCTAAAGTCATCTGGATATACAACATCGAAACTAACAGCTTGCAGATAAAGGTAGTGGCAAACGAGTCACATAGATTACTTATTGACTGTTCTTTCTCCTCATTGCAGCCCGCGGAGACCTGGTCGATTCTCCTCCCACTTATGAGAGTGAACATTCCTACATCACCCTCAATGCTTACTACAACGAGAGCTTTTACGGCCGAGCCCTGCCGCCCGTCCCTGAACACTGCCCCACACCCATGGGGGTCAAAGGTGAGTGTCTGATTTGCATTTTATCTCCTTTTGCTTCGTGTCTGTTAGTTTCTTTGCGAAAGCATTCTGCTCCTCTCTGAAGGTGGCATTCGTGAGATCTGACAATAACAGTTGTGTAAATAAGTTAAAATAAAATAGGAAAGAAGAAAAATAATGACTTCATTTCCCTCCTTTCCGAGGCCCCAAGGAGTACCCCGACGCCGACGAACTCGTCAAGAGAGTGTTCTTGAGGCGCGAATTCATCCCGGAACCTCACGAAACCAACGTCTTGTTCCAGTACTACGCTCAGCACTTCACTCACCAGTTCTTCAGGACCGACTACAAGAAGGGACCTCACCTCACCAAGGGCACTGGCGGCGTAAGTCCATTTTGCCTCTCTGTTGCTTTCTTGTTCCTTCATTGTATTCTAATTTTGCGAAAGTACTATTGTTATTATTATCATTATTGTTATTATTACTATTAGTGTTCGTATTAGCAGGAATGTCAGTTTAAATAAGATGATGATGTGCCACACAGTCTCCTCCGAGGACATACAAAGATCTAAACTAGACTTGTTTTTCCTTTAGGTTGACGTCTCAAACATCTACGGACTCACTGAGCAGGACCGCCGAGCACTGAGGTCTGGCGTAGACGGCAAATTGCGCACCCAGGTGAGTTGAGTCGCAGACGAATATTCTTTTATGCTTTAAATAAAAAAAGGAACTCACCACCCTAAACAGGTTCTCTAAAAGCACTGTCATTTCTTATTCACACTCAGATCCACAGTCCTTTAATTGTGTTTTACAGCTTGACTGAATATTTGTTAATTTCTCAATAGCTTTAAAAAATACCCCCTCCCCTCTTTACCTTTCATGATATTTATTAGTCGATTTTAATATACTCCCTCCTTTTTTTTTGCCTTTATTAACCTTTTTCTCAATATTTAATTTTCTTTGATTTTCCCTTCAACAGAAAATCAACGGCGAGGATTTCCCACCTTACCTCAAGGACGTTCCCGGGATCTCCATGGACTACCCCCCCCACATTCCCATTCCTGAGGAAGGCAAATTCGCGCTCGGTCACCCTTTCTTCGCTCTCCTTCCTGGTCTCTTCGTAAGTACCTTTTCGAAGTTGTGTTGATGTTTATTGCTTGTTTATTGTATGTGTTGGGTTTGTTTCTGCTCAGTTTTTAGTTACGTTGTTTCTTTCTTTAAAAGAAAAATGGTTAGGAATTCATAACACATGGAAATAAAATGTTCAAAAGAAGTAAAACATTCCTCTCAGAAACTAACAAATATTTTTTTCCGCTTTTTAGGCCTATGCTACGATTTGGGTTCGTGAACATAACCGCGTGTGTGACGAACTCGTCAAAGTCCATCCTGACTGGGATGACGAGAGGATCTACCAGACCGCTCGCCTTATCATTACCGGTAAGTTGGAAAACAATTTTATCAGTTAATTGTCAGTCCGACAGACGAATTAACCAGTGATAATTTACCCGGATGTTGCGTCACTACTATATTATTTTTTAATCTTCTTTAGCTGTCTAATTATCTAATGATCTCATATATTCATTATTTCATTTATCATTTACTTCTTCATTGCCATGTTTTGTGCAGGCGAGGTCATCAAGATCACCATTGAGGATTACGTGCAGCACCTGAGCCAATATAAGCTGAAGTTGACCTTTGAACCCGAGTTGACGCACGGCACTCGCTTCCAGTACCACAACCGCATCCACGCTGAGTTCAACCACTTGTACCACTGGCACCCACTGATTCCCGATACTCTCAATGTAAGTTTTCGCTGTTATTATTAGTACTGGTAGTAGTTGTAGTGTTCGTTGTGGTTTTCACACTGGCAATGGTATTTCATTAAAAGGATTATTATTCTATCTGGTATGCTGATATATACTCGTCTTTTTCACAGCATTTTATTTATTCTAATATGTTTTTCCTCTGCAGGTGAGCGGGACAGATTACGCAATCATGGACATGGCTTACTCTACCGCCCCGGTGTTCAAGCACGGTCTGGACGAGTTCATTCACTCCATGGTCAATAGCAGAGCTGGCGCTGTAAGTATTGATAAACTTCTCATATACTCGAATAAGAAATGGTTGATTAGATTAGATTAGAATGAGTTGATTAGTGGGGGATAAAAAAAGAGAAATTAGTTATTCAGAATATGTGGTCAGTTAATTTGACATCTCGATATAAATGTACTTATGATTGCTTCCCGTCTTTTGCAGCTAACGACCCGTAACCACGCCCACGCGCTCTACCCCGTGCTGAAGAAGGTCATCGAGAACGGGCGGGAGATGCGGTTCCAGGGCTTGAACGCTTACCGCAGGCGCTTCGGCATGGTGCCCTTCACGAGCTTCGAGGACTTGACAGGCGAGGCCGAGCTGGCTGCCACCCTGGAGGAGCTGTATGGAGACATCGAGGCTGTAGAATTTTATGTTGGTGAGTTTTCGAAAAGTCCTTTTTTCTGATTTCGATGTGGTGGGGATTCTCCTGCGTTTTTTATAATTCCAAAATATTCGAAAATCTTGTCAGAGAATATGCTGATTTACCCCATGCACCTGAGACTGACCCTTGCCCTTTTGCCTTGTGCAGGTCTGCTAGCCGAGCGCCCCGGCCCCTCCATCACGCCCCTCACCATGGTCAACGCCGGAGGCCCCTGGAGCGTGAAGGGCCTCCTCGCGAACCCCATCTGCAGCCCCCGCTACTGGAAGCCCTCGACCTTCGGCGGCGAAGAGGGCTTCAACATCATCAAGACGGCGTCCCTCGAGAAGCTCTTTTGCCTCAACATGAAGGGGAAATGCGAAGGCATCGCTTTCACGGTCCCGCAAGGAACCCCTTAGGATACTCATCTAGGATTCAGTTTAGGAATTATCAAATTATCTTTTTTCTACATATTTTCTACTCCTGTGAATGTATATGAGTGAGTGGTTGTTAGGGGGAAAAAAGTGAACCCTACGCTGGGATCTCTATTCGTGAGAACAGAGCGAGTCAGTAAGGGACACGTTTTCCCCGTTAGAATGTCACCTTGTTTTTAAGTTATTTATTTTTTTTCCCACACTCTTTGAGTTATTCCATCTCTACCTCATTAGACAAATGGGTCTCAAGCTGCTTACCACACAGAGGAAGAGTGTAAGCTGCTGTTCGAGAAAGCTGTTTTGTGTAATGACCAGGCATTAGATAGTCAAGATGGTAAAGACGTTCCTCAAAGCTGTAGAGTATTTGCCAGTGTGCTAAGTACGGAGATTATTAGTCACTGTGTATATACTACTTCATGCACTTAGGGTTAGGTCACACACACACACACACACACACACACACACACACACACACACACACACACACACACACACACACACACACACACACACACACACACACACACACACACACACACACACACAAA